CCAAGCCTTCCCTGGGAGGACAGGAGAGAAGACCAAGGTAGTCCCCCCCGGATGGTCTCAGCAGACTGTACCTTCTGCTCCAGGAGGTGGTCAGATTATTTCCGTAGTGACTCCAGAGGGACATTGTGAGGCCCACCAGAATCCCTGTGAGAGTCACAGTGGCCCCATTGTTCCCTCCTGGGAGGGGCAGACAGGAGATGTCAGACAGTGGGGGCATCTGACTTGCCAGGTACTCTGGGAAGAAGGGCTGTGGACCCGCGTGTGCACATGTACATGTGTGAGTGCCAGCAAGTTTCAGGGTATCCTGAGCCCCCAGTTTAAAAAAATATTTTTATTGATCTTGAGAGAGAGAAAGAGAGAGAGAGAGGAAGGAAGAGAAACACTGATTTGTTGTTCAACTTATTTGTGCATTCATTGGTTGATTCTTGCATGTGCCCTGACTGGGGATCGAACCCGCAACCTTGGCATGTTGGGATGATACTCTAACCAACTGAGCTACCTGGCCAGGGCCGAGCCCCCAGTTTTAAACCCACCATTTTGATCCCACCATCTCAACCCATTGATCAACTCTCTATACAAAGCCATGAACAGGCTTTTTTTCCCTCCCTCTTTTCCTTTTTATTTGATAGAAGTTTCCCCGTGGAGATCAGTGGTTTTCTATGTCCATTTTACAAGGGAGATTTTATTCCTCGGTTTCTTTTGGCCTCTGCCATCGTGACTGTAGACATTCTCTTCTGAGCAGCTATTTCCGCCGCGTCCTGCATTCGCCGGGCCAGGGTTGTAGCTCTGATGGTGTCAGGACAACCTGCCTCCACCAGTTTTGATTCAATAACCGATTGTACCGTGTGTGATATTAGCCCTTGTGGGTTTGGACTTTCTGTGGATTTATTCCTACAAAATCCTTTTTCCCCTCCTGTTCGGTCACTACCATTTTTCAGATTATCCTCAAATTGTGGTTCTGCTGCTCGCTTTTCACTATGTCAGATTCACTGGTCAGAAAGGCCTGCAGTCTCAGCGACCCTCTCCTGTGGTCCATGTGGTGGAGAGTGTGTGTGTGTGTGTGTGTGTGTGTGAGTGTGTGTGTGAGTGTGTGAGTGTGTGTGAGTGAGTGTGTGTGTGAGTGTGTGTGAGTGTGTGTGAGTGTGTGTGAGTGTGTGAGTGTGTGTGTGAGTGTGAGTGTGTGTGTGTGTGTGAATGTGTGTGTGTGTGTGAGTGTGTGTGTGTGTGAGTGTGAGTGTGTGTGAGTGTGAGTGTGTGTGAGTGTGTGTGTGAGTGAGAGTGTGTGTGAGTGTGTGAATGTGTGTGTGTGTGAGTGTGTGAGTGTGTGAGTGTGAGTGTGAGTGTGTGTGAGTGTGTGAATGTGTGTGTGTGTGAGTGTGTGTGTGTGTGAGTGTGAGTGTGTGTGAGTGTGAGTGTGTGTGAGTGTGTGTGTGAGTGTGAGTGTGTGTGTGCGTGAGTGTGTGTGTGTGAGTGAGTGAGTGTGTATGTGTGAGTGTGTGTGAATGTGTGTGTGTGTGTGTGTGTGTGTGTGTGTGTGAAGCCTGCCCCTTTGTCCCTTCACCTGCCCCCGTGCTGATGTGAAAGGGCTGTGGGGACAGGCAGCTCGGCTCTGGCTCTGGCTCCTGCTCTGGAAAAACATCCCCAGAACATTTTCCCACCTGTGTGTGTTGCCAGAGTAATGAGACCCAGATGTGGGGCTGGGAGTGGGGAGGGGGCCCGTGATCCAAGGCCCTTCCCCCGGGGGGTCACTACCTGCCGGCTGCCTCCCGCCTCAGCACCCACACACTCCGTGCTCCCTTCCCCCTCGGCCGCCCCTTGCCTGGGAATGGAAAATTGTGCTTTGGACAATCCCGCTTGCCAAATTCCAGACTCAAGAGCTCATTGTGACCCTCCCCTAGCCTTCGAGGGTGACTCCACCTCCTCCCTGCGGCAGACAGCTCTGTGTCCTACTCCCCTCTCCCCCCGCCCCCCCGCCCCCCAGGAGCGCGGCCCATTCAGCAGGGAGCTGAGCCTCCTTCCTGGAGTCTAATCTGCAGGCTCCAGCTGGAGTCGGTGTCTGTGTCCACTAATCGAGGCTCAGACACGAATGGGGACCCCTTGTCCTCCCCCGGTTGATCCGTAACCCAATGGCAGGTAGGGTTGCTTTCCCCTTACGTGGGACCCCGCCCCTTTAAGGAAACCAATTCTTTTTTTTTTTTAATATATTTTATTGATTTTCTACAGAGAGAAAGGGAGAGAGACAGAGAGTCAGAAACATCGATGAGAGAGAAACATCAATCAGCCGCCTCCTGCACACTCCTCACTGGGGATGTGCCTGCAACCCAGGCACATGCCCCCGACCAGAATCGAACCTGGGACCCCTCAGTCCGCAGGCCGACGCTCTATCCACTGAGCCAAACCGGTTTCAGCAGGAAACCAATTCCTATTGTTGGTAATGAAAAGTCCGGGGCTGTCTGTCTGACCTGGCAACCAGGTAGCCTGGGAAAATGTCTCCAGGATGGACCCCCAAGGGTGGGTGGGCTTGTGTAGAAGGAATTGGAAACATTCCCTCGGCTGAAGGCCAAAGCTCATCCGGCCTC